ACGTCACCAGTGGAGAATGTATTGTCAAAGTTAGGGGGGTGGAAGCACCTTTGAAGAGCAGCACTTGGGCAGAAGAGTAATGGAAGGTGGCAGGCAGAGTCTGTTTCATAGACAATAGCGGTGGCACTCAAGTTAACTCTTGTTGATGCTGCACAGAAGAAGGCAGCGGTAAATCCCTTCTTTTTATCCCTTAAAAACAAACCTTATGGTGAGGCAGTCCAAAAACAAAGCAAGGTGTGGTGCTGGAAGATGGAACTCCCAAGTTGGAAGGTGTTCAATCACCTACTGGGGAAGAACAAAGAAAAAGTAGCATTTTCACTGGGAAAACAACTGGTTGAAAGAGACAAGGAATGTCTAGTTGCAGATGAGCAGAGAGGCAAAAGGAAAGTCCAGTGCTGAACAAAACATATGATTGGAATGTAGACTGTGAGGTAAAATCAAAACTGTGAAGCAAAACATGGAATCTCTAAACATTGCAACGTTTAATGAGTGTGAACTAAATTGGACAGGATCAGGATATTTTCAATTAGATATTTAGAAAGGGTTTTACTCTGGAAACAACTAGATCTGTGGTGATGTAGTTGTAATAGTGAGATGAGACTTGGCCTAAGCCGTTAGGAGATAAAATGCAAATTGAGGAATATCAGTCAGGCTTCATGGAAGCTTATTATCAACACAACTGTTGTGCAGATCTGTGCACCACTGCAGATGCTGAAGAAGTAATTGAAGCGTTTATGCCAGTGTCCAGGAGGAAATTTGAGCACACACCAAAACAGGATGTGCTGGTATCTCACTTGTGAACCCATTGTTTGGCAGCACCCATTGGACACAAACTGTACAATGTTAGTATTTCCTGGCCAGCTTGCGTTAACTTCTGGCTTTCAGATAAGTTTATTATCCTGTGCATTGTACAAATGCCTGTGCTAATTAAAACATATTCCCAGATAAAGTCATTATATGCATGCACAAGCAGACTCTATAGAACTAAAAATGTTAAGCTGCTCATCAGTAGCAGCTAGTAGGAAATAACTGACATTGCATTAGGTTAAGAGCACTCTTTCTTCCATTGCAGCTGCTTTTTCAGTTTCCAGTTTTTTCCTGTCTCTCAAATGTGGCTTATTCTGATCTTTAAAAGCAACTTTTCTTATATGAGCAGCAACATCTTAGGACTGCAGAGCTGGAAGGGTTGGATTTGATGGCCTTACCTTCCATCTTCATGCCTTCTTTCAGATGTTTGGGAAAAAACAAAAATTTCTCAGATCTCGTGCTTTTGGAAAAATTAGAAAACGGGAATACATTTCTTCCTTCGTTGACTCTTGACTCTCTGCCCTCTCTTTCTGGTGACCCCCTTATCTCTATTTGTACATGATATCCAATTGAGGGGAAGGACCTCTCTTCCCTGTCTTTGTAAAGCATCATGTACATGGCACTGTATAACAGTGACCTTGTTTCTCATGGCATAGTCACAGCTGGTCACCCAAAATTTGCCAGCTTAACAGCTTATAATTTCCTACGGAGAGTGCTTGTAGCACAAAGCATCATGTACATGGCACTGTATAACAATGACCTTGTTTCTCATGGCATAGTCACAGTTGGTCACCCAAAGTTTGCCAGTTTAACAGCTTATAATTTCGTACTTTCTCAGCGAAGGAGCTTGTTCCCGCCTGCCTTGTGTTTTCTGGCTAGGGACTCCTCTGCTTCTGGAAATAAATAAAATAAATAAAATACTTTCTCAGCGAAGGAGCTTGTTCCAGCCTGCCTTGTTTTTTCTGGCTAGGGACTCCTCTGCTTCTGAGATCTTTTTCACATCATTTCTCTATTCAGTTGTTCATCAGAGGAACTGCTAGATAGCACAGTGGTTTATTTAGATCTCTGGCTGGGGAGCCAGAGGTTGGGAGTTTGATTCCCCCACTGTGCCTCCTTGACAGTGCTTGGACTTGATGATCTATTGGTTCCCTTCCAGCTCTGCAGTTGTAAGATCATCATAGATTATTATATCAGTGTAGAGGCCAATCAGTATGTGGGGTTTGCCTGCTTGATTACCATGGCCTTGCTCTCATTTGGAAAATGACCTTTAATTGGGATAAGTTATTACTGGTCTGTCTCCCAGGCAAGGCACTTGGCACTGACAGGATTGTGAGCTGAGTGAATATAGGAAGTGCTGTGCTAGATTGGCCTGGAGGCCTTTCTAGTGTCTTACCCAGCATCCTGTTCTCACAGTAGCCAACTAGGTGCCTTGGAAGACCATAAACATGACATGACCAGAGTGGTCCCTTGCTGTTGCTCCTCATCCTCTTAGAGCAGCAGAGCTAAAAGGGACCCTGTGGATCATCAAGTCCAGCCCTTCTCAAAGAAGCACAGTGGGGAATCGAACTCTCAACCTCTGGCTCTGCAGCGAGAGACCTGAATCACCGAGCTACCCAGCCATTCCTCTTCCCAACAACTTGCATAGACAGACGCAGTGCCTCCTGTGATACTGAAGTTGATATATAACCCAGTGCAGCTAGCCCCCATTGACAGTCTCTTCGCCTAAATCACTCTCAAAAGTTATCCACATTTCTAGCTATCACAACCTCAAGAAATGTGTGCCATTGTTTACCCATATGCTGCATGAAAAAGTAGCTCCTTTTATCTGTTTGGAATGAATGGGCATTGCTCTTGCTTCTGCAAATTAGTGAAGCTGGTTTGGGGTGCCTTGTCTTGCGTTGAACGTAAGATGCATGCACTGCAGGCATGTGGCTAACCCTGGCCACCTGTAAAAATGTAAGGGTGCCATTCATTGTGTGTGCTTGAGTTTGTGTTTGTCAGAGAGTGCAAGAGACAGGCAACAAAGAAGGTGGTATTGGGTGAAATCTGGTTTTCAAATCATAAATTTGCATCTCAAGAACAATCGATTATTAATTTTAAACCTCTTTTCTAAACATAAGTATATATCAAAAAGAGCTTCCCAAAACATCGGTAGAATACAAAAGTAAGCATGAAATAGAACAAAAATGCAACACCGTTATTAAAAAATCAGTAGCACAAAAAAATAGAACTACATCTATAATATTTCAAAAACAGTAGTAAAATCAAACTTGCTGTTCATTCAAAGATTGAGAAAATACAGTTACAACATGGCTGTTGTATTCTTATGTGCCATCAGTTGCAACTGACATATAGTGACCCTAATAGGTCCTTCAGGCCAATTACAGTATTTAAGTCCCCCAGTCAGATTTCGTGGCTGAGCAGGGATTTGAACCTTGGCTTTCTGCATTCTAGTCTCCGCATTCTATCCCCTACATCACACTGGGTACAGAATCGTACACCAATATGGTACAGATTAGAGATGACTTCTCCAGGGCGGGTGCTGCACAGTCAGGGTAGCCCTCTTGAGAAAAAAAAAACTGCTATGTGGTACATACTGGTTTCACGTCTGAAAGCAGAGACACTCAAAGCAAGGCCATAGTTACCATATGCACGTCTATTTATTTTCACTTCACTGCAACATGACTGCTTTTTCAATTTATAGTTGACTGTTCTATTTGCAGATGGATATACTCTTTGCCGGGTTTCCTTACATGTGATTCCAGCCTGCATGCCAGCTTTTGTGTGAGAGAGAGTGACAGAGGCCTTATAGACAACTGTTAAAGACCTGACTTGTAGATCACCAGAGGTCTGCAAGCTGACAGAGAGTCTATTTCAGGGGGAAAGTTTCACATATTGAATTTTTGACTGTCAGCCATCTGTCAACGTGATCAGAACATTTCTGGAAGTAGATATGTGAGAGTCTTAACTTTCCGGTCTCCTTGTCTCCGGGGCACACACTACTTGTAGATCTTGCTCCCGTGTGGGTGCTGCCCCTTCTTCTGCCTCTTCCAACTGTTACTCCAAGATAGTGCTCGCTCACTTAACTGGGCTGTGCCCCTTGCTGTTGGCATAGTTGCCACCCACCACAGGCTATCTGCTGCTCTAGACCGCCTGCCAGCGCTGCCCAGGGTATCTGCCCACTCCCCAGTGTAACTTCTCTTCTGCTTCCGCAATTCTACTGGCATTTCCTGTTGGAACTCTCACTGTTCAGGGTTCAATCAGTTATGCCCATTATCATCATCTCCTACCATGTTTCCCCTTAAATAAGGCAGGGTCTTGTATTCATTTTTTTTTTTTTTTGCTCCAGAAATGCATGAGGGCTCCAAAAATGTGTCAGGGTGTGTTTTATTTTTTTCATGTACAACCATGTACATTTATTGAAAGACACTCATGTCATCATCTTCTAGTTGCTGCCCAGTGGTGAAGGACGGGGTTTCACTTAACTGGGGCTTATTTTTGGTGTAGGGCTTATTTCTGGGGAAACAGGGCAATTCCTAAACACTGTTGGGATATTGCATTGAGCAGTCTTTTTGTTGACAGAATCCCTGGGAAGGTGTCAGAGGGCAGGAGGGAATCCTTTAAAAATGTATTGCCTATTTGTGTGTGGTTTTTAAAGAGGTAATGATGATACACTATTCATATTGACTGTGACATAGTTTCAGATATCCCAAAATTCCAGATCCAAAGGGCTGCAATTCTGAATACAAAGTTTGGGGTTAGTGCATATCCTTGAGTACATTGAGATGTGTCTTGTCTCCTAGTGGTGATTTTTAAAGAAGTTCAGTTTGTTCAAAGCAGTTTGGTTACTCCTTTCTTCCCTTTCACAAATTTTTTCAGGGTCAAGTGCTGCGTTTTTGGGCACCTGAAATCTCAGCAAGGCGATTTATTTCCTTAATCACAACAAATTAGAGTATTGCTATTAAAATGCAGCTGAACCTGTGACATCCTAAAAATCTTCAGTAGTTTAAAACAAGTCTAAAACAGATTATGAAAATACCGTATTCTGCATCCTTAAAACACTTAAAACAGCAGTCCTGGCTGGGCGTTCACGGAGACAGATAATACATTTTGGGGCCTTGGGGAATTATGGGGTAAGTGGCTTTATCTGATCAGAACCCCCTTCAAGTTCCCTTTTTTTCTCCCCTGAACAGCCCACTCTTTGTAACGTGGAAGATTGGTCGAGATAAGCGATTGCGTGGATGTATAGGTACCTTTTCTGCCATGAACCTGCATTCAGGACTCAGGGAGTACACGCTTACTAGGTAAGATTTGGGACCTGTGGTTTTCCCCCCTCTCAACTTTGCATATCTGAGTGCTCTGTGTTTTTGTTATGCTATCAAACTGGTATTCTTAACTTTTGCTCCTCATTAGGCTTTTCTCAGATACTGGTGCCAATATTCCACCCCCCAACCTTGCTACTGGATCTCCCCACCCCCTTTGGTAGTCTGAAGTGCTTTGTGGCATGTGTGTAACCGCCTCCATCATATCATATTTTTTTTCTTCAAACGGCAGTGGGTTTGCTTACAAAAACAATAACCAGCCACTGAGGCCAGACCATGGGGGAAAATATCAGTGTTTGTGCATTTTGGTTGGACATGTTCAGAATTCAGAAACAGGAGGTATTCTTACCTCTTCTCCAGCAGGTGCTTTCAGTCAGCTGCAATTAACTTAATCCTACAGATTTCCATTACATGTTATTCTACAGCTACACCTTGTTCTTGAGTGGGATGCTGCTGGACTGGGGAGGTAAGTAATAAGAACCCTTCACTTCCTGGCATCTGATGTTACCTGTAAGTCACGCCTAGACTGAAACACCTTAGTATTTCCATGTCTCTGTAGCATAGTGGCTGATTAACACATAGAACAACAGAATTTGTTCACTGGTCTTCACTATCATTTCACTTGGGTTTTCAGGTGCACTTTTTGTTTTCTGAAGAATTTATCTATGCATTTGCTTAAGGTATATCCCAGCTTTCTCCAGGGTAGCTCACAACGTGATTAAAAAGCAGAAGCACCTGAAACCACAATAGGTGATCGATCATATTAAAATGCCAGTAAATAAAAACATTGAAGCAAAAATTGATGTAGAAAGAACAAGGAAAAGGTTGTGTGGTCTGTAAGGTTGCACAAATCTGGGGGTGGGGGGGTGGGGAGTGATGCCTTTAAAAATCAAACAAATTGCAAGATTTCATGGTGAAGATTCCAGTTCTTCGGGATTAACACAACCCCTTAATTGACTTAGAATCAATTTGAAAAACGCATGAGGGTAATAGAGTCTCCTTTTCATTAAAATGCCAGTAAATAAAAACATTGAAACAAAAATTGATGTTGAAAGAACAAGGAAAAGGTTGTGTGGTCCGTAAGGTTGCACAAATCTGGGGGTGGGGGGTGGGGAGTGATGCCTTTAAAAATCAAACAAATTGCAAGATTTAATGGTGAAGACTCCAGTTCTTCAGGATTAGCACAAACCCTTAATTGACTTAGAAGCTGTTTGAAAAATGCATGAGGGTAGTAGAGTCTCCTTTTTAAAAGCTCTTTCCTCAGAAAACAACCAATTGTCAAAAAGCTATACAGAATGTAAAAGTGTCCATCTGCTAGAAAAACGACAACAGTGGGCCAGCCTTGCTTCCCTTAGAACGGAGAAGGCCCTCTGGCTGGGTTTCGCGTGGGCGCAAGAGGGGCCTGGGGCTCTTTTACTCCGGGGCTCGGAAGCAGCCATGAGGTGTCTTGATTCCCAAAGACTGGTGGGCATGTTCTCCTAATAATTTTGACTTCACCTTTAAATGCTGCGGTGTGTTGATTAACATGCCTTTCAGTAGATTGGAGGGCCTCCCTGTGGAGTCAATGGCTAAGGAGAAGAGCCGGCTGAGATTGCCTGGAGCATGGATGGGTCCTTGAGATTGTTGTGCCCTCTCTTGCTGTGGGCAAGTGGCCCAGTCCCAGAGGGCCACCAGAAAGGAGGCCCTGGCAAACCAGTTCTGATTACTCCGTGACGAGAAAAGCCTGGGAGGATAGCGCTAAGTTGAGATGGGACCTGACAGCACATAATTATCATTATTAGGAGAAAACGGGTGGAAACATGCTCCTGTCGGCATTTCCACCCAGCTTGGAACAGGAACCCTGTTGTCCTTTTCAGGTTTTGATAGTGGGGCCAAAAGGTTTCTGAAAAGGAGAAGACTTCCCTCTCTCATCTCTCCGTGTCCTCAAAGAGCCAGGCTTGCAGGTGTTGGAAGATTCTGCACAAAACCTTCAGCACTGGGGTCAATTCCCCAGGTACTGCGTTGGGTTGTTTTAGTTCAGTCCCAAGTGTGAGCTTTTGAGCATGAGAGATGGGCTGTCCTGGAAGATGTAAAGAGAAATTGTGTCTCTCTTCCCCCCCACCCCCCATTCTTCACCCAAAATTTTTGCATTGCACAAGAAAGCAACTTAATTTGTAAACATCACCCTTCAGTCCTGATCTGTCTGTCCTCTCCATGGAACTGGAGAATAGACCAGACCAGATTCCTCTTCTCGCTCCTAATTTTCTCGCCCCTCCACCTGCTCGATATTTTGTGCAACCTTGAAACACACAGTTAATTGTCAGGTTGTTCTGAGGGTATTGTTGCTGGGTTTGGGGTATTTTTTTTAAAAAAAGTATAATTTAATTTACAAACTTGATTTATATGCTCTTGGAATTCTCATAGCATGTGGAAACGACATTGTTATTTCTGGGTTAAAATACGTTTTGCTTCCCAGCTGATTGTATGCCTATCAGATAACAAAGCTAATAGGTTGAGTCCCTGCAAGAGGGAATGATGTTGCATATGACTCATTATTTTCCCAGCCTGGTACAGTCTGGGGCGTTTGTGACATTTATAAGAATGCAAAAATGAATCAGTTTCTCTTTGGTGGGTCTGGCAGTTGTGAACCTTTGGCCAGCATTTTTTTAATGAGACCTTGATTAAAATCTGGCAGTTCTGCCGGGAGAAAGATGGGATATAAACATTTAAAAGAAAATTTTAAATTGTTGTGAAGGCAGTGCGTAGTATCTATAACTCCTTAAATGACAACAATATTAGAGCCAGCAAAGGAAGCAACAAGCTTAATTTATCCCTTTAATTTCCTCCATTGTCCTGAAGATGAAGGGCAAATCTGGAGAGGAGAATACCAAGGATATATTCGCCTTCATGTGTTATCTTGTAGGGTTGGTGCTAGTTTCTTAGGAGTTAGAAATATTTTTTTCCTAAGGTTTTATTGAAGGGTATTTTACCTCTGGGAAATTTTAAAAAGATAATTCTTTTTTATTGTTAATACTTTGTATTTTTTGGTAATAATAGCTGCAACTGTCCAAAGAAAACACCCATATTCCAATGGATAGGAATATACCAGTTAATAAAACTCCCATGTTTCAGAGAGCAACGTGAATTTGTCTACTTTAGATTGTCCATAAGGTGTATTGTTGGGCACAATGTTTTTTTTTTTTAAATGACCACAGTTCTCTTGGGCTTGCAAAGCACTGACCAAAACATCAGAAATCCTTCCTCAGAATGCCCAGCTTTCATGCTCCCATGTGCACCCAGGTGCGTCACCAATGAGAAAACACTGGAACCCGTCTCTCCTTACGTGCAGGCAGTCCGAAATAATCCATAAGAGCAAAGATGGGATCTGTTTGCTTTTTTGCCTACCGTTTCCACGATTCTAGTTAGTTCGGTCCCTCAGCCATCCTGACGGTAGGATTCTGGGACCTGTAGTCTAAACTGACAAACATTTCTCATCTCCTTTCCAGCAGCAGAACTAGCAGATGTGTTGGGTTATGTATAAAAGCTGCACAGGTTTATTTTAGTTCAGATAGTGTTACAAGGTAAAGCTTAGCCTAGCTCTCTGAGTTTATTTACTGGAATAATCCTCTGAGACTCTCGTCATATCCTGTGGGACTTGAGCCAAGCTTGGGAACGAAGGTAAAGAAGAGGAACAAAGCCATAATTAACTGCATGAGAATTGCTTTGCTGAAGGACACCAAGGGGACTTCTGATCATGTGTTCTTCTTTTAACAGCAGTAAAGGAGTGGTTCTTCCTTCTGCTGCAAGAACCTCCTTGAGGCTCTGATCCAAATCCCAACAAGGGCCAGGTAGGCAGTAATGCAAACTGCACATGTATGATAGGACTAAAGTCACTGTTACCTATTGGCTTGTCCTTGGACCTTGGGAATCAGACAGATGATGGTTTTGAATATAACAATTCTGTTCTTAGGTGCTAGCAGCCCTTGATAAGGATTTGATTGAATTCCTATGGCTTCTGTTAAAGCTGTCTGGACTACCTCTTGTGGCAGTCGATTTCATAAACTGCCTTATTTAAGTGTTGTGTGAAAGCTGAGCTCAGTTAGACCAGTGGTGTAGACATACCGTTCTTCCATTGTGGTTAAAAAAAAAGTTCAGTGAAACTCCCAGTCACAGAGAGGTAACTTGAGGTCAGAGGGAAATCAAGCTTGCAGTTGTCCTCATGTACCTAGCCATGCAGCCGGTGGCTAATACATGGAATATCGAATATAAGAGACATATAGCTTAGAATGCAATATTTAACAGTGGTAAACTCAGGAATAACCCTGCCCGACCCTTAGCTTAGTGTGCCAACTTACTTTTGGAGTGGCTTTCAATATTATGAACTCATGAACTGTCCTAGGATCTAGAAACTTTACTTACAAGTACTAAAAGCAAGTATGAAAATTATTGAATAGTCATGTAATTAAACTGAAAACCATTGTTACATGAATCAGGCATCAAATAATTCATTGACCAGGTAACCTATTTGAACGCTCTGCCTTACTTACATTTTAGCAAACTTACCAATTAAGTTACTCAAAAGGTAGGCTTTTTTTCTGCTGAGGGCATAATATGTTGGATCAGCTTTTCTTGCCATATCATACCCTGTTTCCCTGAAAGTAAGACCTAACCTGAAAATAAGCCCTAGTATGGTTTTCAGGATGCTCGTAATATAAGCCCTACCCCCAAAATAAGCCCTAGTTAAGTGAAACTCCACCCTTGTGCAGCAACCAGACAAAGATATAACTGTAAAATAAAACACCCCCTGAAAATAAGCTCCAATGCGTTTTTTGGAGGAAAAATTAATATAAGACCCTGTCTTAGTTTTGGGGAAACACGGTAGATCTTAGGAGATTTTTTAGCAGTTACAGGTAACCAAAGGTATGATTCCTCATAGCCATGGAATCTTAACACTGATTTATAAAATTGCAGTTAAAGAATGACTAGAATCCTGTTGTATAGTT